GACTCCGATACAGCTTGTTCTTCAGCCCATGAGTCTGACGCAAATAACGAAGAAGAAAAATTTTCTGCCTTTAAAAAGACTGCCAACACTAAGGGACCGAATCGGAGTGCCGGAAAGAGTTATGTCCAACTCCCCAAGGGAGTTAAGATCCCGCCTAAACCGGAGGATGCATCTACCAAACCTTGGGTAGACCTCCGGATCACTGAAAATGACTGGCGGGGCAGACTCAAGAAGGGGGTTGGCCTGCATTGCCAAAAGCCGAATCATAAAGTTCAAGACTGTTATCGGTTGCAGGGAAACTAGAATCTGGCGTAGAGTCAGACTCAGCAAACTCTACAGCAAGGGAGGCTGGTTCTGTTGACGACCAGCAACCCTCCCTTGAAGCCCAACCATCTGCTGAAGACAAGGCTGCGGTAGGTAACGTATAGTATAATGAGCCTTGGGAGGAGTCCGAGATGATTGACTTCCACTACCACTTGGAGCATTGGGCTGAAATGAAACAGCAGCGGGCCCAAGGGACAGTGAAGTTAATCTTCTTTAARYTTCTCATCAACCACCGCTATCTTCGTGTGTTAGTTGATTGTGGTGCTACAGCTAATTTCATGTCACCACATGGGATACGCAAGGTGGGCTTGGGGATGAAGCAAGTGGCCCTGCAGAACCCTTGCCGGACCCAAGTTGGCAAAAAAGAAGTTGTCTCTTCAACACATGCAGTCAAAGGTGTGCGCACTACCTTTGACAAAGGTAAGACTGCCACCCATGCACTGAACTTCTTTGTCCTTGACAAGTGCCCCTTCGACGCTGTCCTTGGCTTGGGCTGGCTGCAGTCCCAATGCGAATGGACCAAGTGGAAGGAGTCCCTTTTCATGGTCAAAGATGCTCAGGGGAACGAGCTTCATGTCCTCTTGGATGAGAAGAGCGAATCCCCAGTGACTTTTCTAAATGCATTGAAGTTCTGCAAGAAGTGGCGCAAGCACAAAGAGGAAGAACAGTTGTATGTTGCCTTTGTTCGTCCTGCTCATGTGCCTTCTTCTTTTGCGGCTATTACCACTACTACTTCGATTGATGAATCTACTTCTGGTACTTCTACTACTAGCACCTCTATCTCTCTATCCTCTAATAGTCCGAATGATCCTACTTCAGATTCGGTCGTCTCTATACGTGATTTGCGACCGGACTTTGGTGATCCCTTTGCTGATTCCCCACCCCCACCTGTCCCATCAGACATCCAAGCCCTCCTCGATCGGTTTCCAGAAGTCTTGGCCGAGCCACGTGGAGTCCCCACGTGACCGGTTCGACACACCATCGAGTTGGTCGAGGGTGATGTTCCTCCAAAGGGTTGCGTGTACCGTATGGGACCCGACGAGTTGGAGGAACTCCGGCGGCAGATCAATGAGATGATTGACAAAGGGTGGATCAAACCAAGTGAATCTGAATTTGGTGTTCCTGTGTTGTTTGTGCCAAAGAAAGGAGGCAAACTCCGCATGTGTATTGACTATCGTGGTCTAAACCGCATCACAAGAAAGAATGCTTATCCATTGCCTCGTATAGATGACTTGCTTGATGCTGCAGGCGGGTGCAAGGTCTTCTCCAAGATCGATCTCAAGTCCGGCTACCACCAGATTGAAGTCGATCCTGCGGACCAGCACAAGATTGCGTTCAAGACGCGCGATGGGCTTTATGAGTTCACCGTAATGCCCTTCGGTCTTACGAACGCACCAGCCACGTTCCAAAGCCTCATGGACAAGGTCCTCCGCGAAYAGATTGGCCGGTTCRTGGTAGTGTACCTGGACGATATCCTGATTTTCAGYRAGTCCATGGAGGAACACCTCAAGCATCTTGAGGAGGTACTTGCCATCCTCAAGAAGACGCARCTCCATCTCAACTTGGAGAAATCTGAGTTTGGGAGGGATAGCGTCATCTATCTTGGGCACCGGTTGTCTGCTGCAGGCCTAGAGCCTGAGGCAACCAAGATTGAGGTCATATGCGATTGGCCTCAGCCTGTGAACATTCGTGAATTGCGTTCTTTTCTTGGTCTCGCGTCGTACTATCGGAAGTTTGTACCCCGTTTTTCTATCATTGCTCATCCATTGTCGCGACTAACCAGCAAGAATGTGTCTTATTCCTGGGATGCCGCGTGTATGGAAGCATTTCGAACTCTCAAGGAAGCCTTGGTAAGTTATCCGGTAGTCCGCATTGCAGACCCCAAACTGACCTTCGTAGTTACTACGGATGCAAGTCAGTATGGGATCGGTGCGGTGCTGCAACAAGATGACGGCGATGGCCTGCGGCCACTCGAGTACTATAGCAAACGAATGCCCAGCGTAAAGGTAGCCACCTCCACCTACATGCGCGAGCTCTACGCTTTGCGCATGGCGTTGGATCACTGGAAACATTACCTGTTGGGACGCCACTTCAAAGTGTTCTCAGATCATGAGACCTTGAAGTGGATCAAAATACAGACTACTCTGTCCCCTACCTTGCTTCGCTGGTTTCATGAGATTGACATCTTTGATTTTGAATTGAGGCATAAAAAGGGTTGTTACAATCGAGTCGTTGACGCTTTGTCTCGCCACCCTCAGTACATGACTTGCCTTGTGAAATCCTACGACCTCCGGAAGAAATTGAAGGAGGAACTCGTAGAGCAGACAGCCAAGGATCCGGAACTTAGTTCCATCCTTGAGCAGCTGTAGGCTGATCCTAGTAGTCAGCCTGATTTCCACGAGTATGGAGGACTGATTTTTCGCCGATACGGGAACCATGACCGTTTGTGTGTACCCAACCATGAGCCTCTCCGTACACACTTTTTGGACTTGGCTCATGGCCGGAGCGGGCATTTCGGCATGGCTACAACGTACGCTAATTTGCTGAGACAGTTTGATTAGCCCGGTATGAAAGGGACTGTTGAGAAATTTATAGTTGAATGTCAAGTCTGTCAACGAATCAAACCATGCAGACAAAAGCCCATGGGGCTACTCACACCCCTACCCATTCCTGACGGTCCCGGGGAGTCCGTCTCCATCGATTTCACTGACATGGGTAAGGTAAGCAAGAACGGGTTTTCACAAGTCATGGTGATTGTTGACCGGTTTTCAAAGTTTCTCAATCTAATTCCTTTACCGCCTCACGCCCCAACAGATCTAGTGATTCGCGAATTCCAGCAGAAATACCTGTTGCAATTCGGAACCCCGAAGACTCTTGTGAGTGATCGGGACCCGCTCTTCATTAGCACTGAATGGAAGGAGTTCACGTCCCACCTTGGAATTAAACTTTGCATGACCTCTGGCCGACACCCCGAAGCCAACGATTTGGCTGAGGAGATCAACCAGACTGTATTCCAACTACTCCGTGCGTTGATCATTCCTGATCAGGAAACATGGGATGAGGAGTTGTATTTTGTCAAGGGGTTGTACAACAACTCCGTCCATTCTGCCACCGCAACGACACCTAACAGGCTGCATTACGGGTGGCAGATCCGTAATCCGCTCTCCTACTTATTCCATGAACAGCCAGCTGGTTTAACACCCGGCAGGCCCGGCTTCAGGGCTAAGTATGATCGCTTGCTCAAAGTTGCTGTTGCAGCCATGACCAAGTGACAGCATGCCATGATTCACCATGCGAACAAGAAGCGCAAACCATCGGAGATTCAGGTAGGAAGTTATGTCTGGGTAAAGATGTTTGAATTCTCAGAGGAGGAGGGAGTCTCACGCAAACTCATCCCACTCTACTACGGGCCTTGGGAAGTTTTGGATGTAATTGGGGAAGATCACTTTGGCCCTTTGTATGTTGTCGACGTGCCAGCTCACCTGCGCACGTATCCCGTGTTTCATGCATCTAAA